GAACTTGTTACATTTTTTTGCAACCATTTATTATGCCGGATATTCAGATTTCTCAAGTCCTCCTGTGCATTTGATGTGTCTTTATTCTTATCATTCATCATAGAAGTACCCAAAACACTCTCACCCACATTTTTATCGAAATGCATCACATCTATGTTATGCTTCAGCTACTGAGAAGACCAATACTCGAGATCGAAAAAATACTACGTTTCGACCAGTTCAACTTGAATCCTTGCCGATCCATGTTTTCCTTGAGAGTCTTAGGATTTTTACCCGGTTTATGAAGTAGCAGACGACCTAAGGCGTACGTTGCGAGGTTCACTTGAGAAGTCAGGGTAATCTACGTCAAACACATTCTTCACAATGAAATTTATGTATGTCCTTTCCAAGTGAATTGGGGCCGGGAATCAACAAGGCCACAATGAATGATGAATCTTTCATACAAATCCATGGTGGCAGATTGTATGTGGTGAGTACGACTGACCATGTACTATGTAGATTACACATGTTACCGAATAGATGAAAGTCACCAACTGCCAGTCCTAGGCGTATGTTGCAAGGTTCACTTGAGAAGTCAGGGTAATCTACGTCAAAGTTTTGCCAAGACTCTCCATCAACGGGATGACGCATCACATCATCTTCTGAACTCCCAGTACTATGCCATATCATATTTTTGGAAGTGTACCTTGAACAATACAAACATCGTAGTCTAGGGGTAGGGTCGGCCTTACCCTTCGCCAAACTAAGCAAGGGATTAGGGCCCCCAATTCCAAGGGCCCTAATTTTGAAGCTTATTTCCAGAAACTGAGAACTAAAAATCAATTGTTACGTACGCCGGACGCCACAATCAACAATTCCATACCGACGATTTGATTTCTACAAAATCGCAACCATCTGTTTAGTTTGCTTCTTCCTTCTCGGCTTCTCCTCCTCTCCTCCAATCTTGATTCTTTTGGTTTGGTCAAAGTTATGGCTTTTAATAAAATTTTGAAGTGATGATTAATACACAAATTTAAGCCAGTTTTGCTTCATAAAATTCATGATAGATAGAGCTGTAATTTACTCTGAGCTTCTGGTAATTAAACTTCAAAATTTGTGCTTTTCAAATTAAGATAACTTTTGTAATATTTGTGAGATTTTTTTGTTGATTACTTACATTTTCAATATACCAATGATGAAGTAATCCAAATTTATGAGATACGGTGGATCCAAGACCTTGCTGGATTTCTTCTTTGTATTGAAATATATAACGGGCTAAGGGTTGAAAAAATATAGAGATGAATGTGTTGTCTATCAGTTTCTTCTTTTGTAATATCAATGAGATTGGAGTTAAATAACAGCACAACATATCATGAGAAGATGTTTTTTTGTTGATACTATTTACTTAGATTTATGTTTAATATTATTTTTTATTTATAACTTTACTCAAAATTTATGAGACATGTATGTTGTATTGGTTTATAATATTGTATTACTTAGTTTTATCTTTCAGTGGTTGTTGCTTTATGGTATAATTTTGAAAGAAAACGATGAATACATATTTTTTATGTATTAGACACGACACCCATACAAAGTTGAAGATGTGAAATTTAAAAACAATAGACCATTCATTACTGTCATTGGATCTTCATTTCGTGTATTGGTACCCAGTTGCTTTGGTCTCTTATTTATGTTCGTGTATGGTTGGCTGATTATGCTATATTTGGATGATGTTGGTTCTTTATCTTTCTGCTGCTTCTGTTCCCTACATTGATTCATGCCCAGTAATGTGTATACTAATGATTCTAGTTGGACTAGACTTAATTTTTTCATTTTCAGAGACTCAGAGTTGGAACTTGGAATGAAATTGAGTTTTCAGTTTTCAGTTTTCCATTATCTTCTATTCTCAACACTTTCAAGAACTCTAGTGTCACTGACTCACTATGTAGATTAAAGGCCAAAGGGCCCCAAAATTTTGATTCGCTTACATCCCCCAAACTGGTTGAGCCAAACCTGTCTAGGGGTCATTGGAAACTACTGTAATACCTTATGAGCCGCCTTCTTATCCTTGGTGTTTTTATTAATCCATTAACTCTCTTTACATCCATGATATAACTTGGTTTCGACTGCCTCTAACAACTGTTCAAAATCATCATCGACACCGCTAGCCCTTATATTCGAGGTTCCTTCATCGAGGTTGGTATCATTTTCTTTTGACTCCCACATAACATCATCAATAACATCGTCCATCTCGTTACTTGGCGCCAAGACATCTACAACCAGATGATTTAAAGGTTCACCGTGATATGTTCATGTTTCGTATGACCGACTGAAATCATATATACGAACATGACTTGTCATTGCTTTCGTATCCACGAAGTAACGATTATCACATTGCTTACGTGGACATCTGGTTTTACCTTTACTATCTAGGTGTGACATGGATCTCTTGACAAAAGAGTTGATTCCTAGCTGGAACTCAGGAGATTGACGATGTGGATTAGTAGTCCAATTTTTTATCAATAGACATGATACAACTGAAACATAATTTAGTATTTGAGGTTTACTCTACGGGAAATAAAAATCAAGTAGAGTATTCATAAAGTCGATGATTCAAAAGGTATCCCAACACGGGAACATAGGAACAAATAATCAGAATTGAAGAGTATTCACAAAGGTAGGCTTCTAAACCCACTTTTTAAATACCTTATCTCATATGGGAACGTGTATAACATGATTGTATGTTTAAGAAAAATTCGCTAGCATTTCCCC